GGGGAGGGGGAAGGGGAAGAAGCATGTTTAAGCTCTGAACAAGTTTTGACTGAATTCTTTAAATTTGTCTCTTCCTCATTAATGTTGTAACATTTTGACCGTGTCTATTGTTTTCTTCCAAAAAAGTATAGTTGACTTATTTTTTGCAGATTGGTGGGTTCGCACTCCTGAAACTCCAGGACCACGAGAGGACCTGTGGCCAGGAAGACAGAAAAGTTCCAACTCTGGGCCCTTTGACATATCAAATGGTTCACCCGGGAAACACTCAACAGTTCCAGTTGATGCCGGAAACAGGATGGCTGGTGCTCGCTCTTCTTTTGGCGGTGGGAGTGGAATAGCTAGCAATCCCTCGATGACTCTAAGGAATCTTATCCTTTCACCTATAAAGCGGCCTCAGGTCTCTCGTAGTCGTCCTCAAATGTTCACGTAAGCTGCTAAGTTTAACTTTAGTTTAAACTATTTGAGCACCTCTAAATTCGTTGTCAATTCTTGGCTATCCAGGTTGTAGATCGGAGAGAGCTCACTCTGGTTCGGCCAACTTTTGTTTAGCCTTTCAGTTCTTGTATGAGGTCCTCCTTAAGTTGACTTGTCAAGAGAAATCATAAAAAAACTGCATTTATGGACCAGTAGATTCACTCTTGTAAAGATGGCTTGATAATTGAGCAACACTGCAATGAAAATAGTGTAGGCTTGCTCGTGTCGAAATTTTTGTTCAACAATTTCGATCTTTTCTTCATTGATGCAAGGGTTTGATTTGAGTAGAAATGCATTCCTTTCCATGTGTTCACGGCTTCAATTTAGTATTTGTATCTTTTCTGCGTACCTGTGTATGTTCAAACGCCTACATGTTTGCATATATGCGCATTAGTTTTCATTTGTAATGCAAATAGTTTGAAATGAATGATTTTGGCCGCAGGGGTGATAAAAGAGAATCTCCCATAAATTCAACTTAACATCCTACCCTTTTATAGTCTGTTGTTTGTGCATGGAAGGGGTGCAAAAATTAAAGTTGGTAAAGAACATTGCTCTTGTTATTTCAATAATAATGTTGTACGTAATGGAATTGCGTAATAATTTACATACATTGGTGGAGCTAGGATATTTTATTTAAGTGGCAAAAATCATATAATAGAAATAATTATAAATAATATAACACAGTAACGCTACATTACTATAATTGTTCCGGACGTGTTTTCATATTTTGAAAATGTCGTATAATTAAATCATTGTCATTTTCGTTAAATATATCCGTCTGTATATACAATTAGACCGTCATTCAACCATTGATCTCCAATTCGATTGTACAGTCGAGTCTTGACAAGATTTATTGCAGAAAGCACCCTCTCAACAGTAACAGTTGCAATTGGAGAATTAATGTTAATGTCACAAGCCCATATAGCTGTGGATACACTTCATTTTTCTTCGTCACAACAAGCTTCTTTGCAAAATCCTAAGATCCCATAATCCTCTGAAGTTTTCATCCGTGCACATGCCAAAAATATATGTTTCAAGTTGATTATCAAGCGTAGAAAGATTTGTTAGCGAAAAATCTTCAGGATAAAACACACCTAGTAGAACAAATTTGTTTTTTTTTTGAAAGCAGAAAACAAATTATATGGACACAAACATGCTACACAAAGGCACAATTCACTGTTTACCTTGAAAAACGATCATTTAATTCTTAAAGCTGCATATCAGTGACAGAAAAAAATGTAATCCACACGTAAGTGATGTAAATTTGTCATTCCTAGAGCGTTACGTTGTGTACGACCTGGAGGAATATATATAGCATCATGTTAGGAACATCAATATGGTGCTTTTAACAGAAAGAACAAATCGTTTCATGAAAAGAATCCCATCAATTGTCCTTCATTGCTTGGAGTTGTTTTTTTACCAATTATCACTAATCTCATGACATTGATAATGTCTTGATCATTCCTTTATAATGCCTTTGACAATTTATTAGAGATTCCCAAGATGCTTTTCATGAGATGGAGACTAAATACAAAATCAAATCTTATTATCAAGGTCAATAAATTACATGCTTCACCTCTTTTTCCAGAACTTGGAACATCCTGAGCAATTACTTCAAGTATATCAATTGTAGGTGAAAACATTTGAATTTAGTTAGTCAAAGAATTATAATAAGAGCTCCAAAGTGTATCACAAGAATGTTTTAGGATATTTTGTTGATTAAGACCCCCATCCACTTGAGAATTGACCTTGATGAGCGCTTCAACAATTCGGATTCTTTGTTTTTCTTGAAGAAGATTACATCTTTTAGCCGATCCTCCAACAATATTCACCATTTTATCAACCGAATCAAAAACCGCTTCAATCTTTACATGCTTGTTTGTAACAGCAACAAGAGCTAGTTGAAGTTGATAAGTAAACCAATGATTGTAGAAAGCACTCGTGTTATCTTTTTTAGAATAAGTACTTTGAGACCATTAAACTCACCTTGCATATTACTAGTTTTATCATAACCTTGACCTCTCAAGCTAGTTATACTTCATTTATATCTAGAGAATAAGTTATCAATAGTAGCTTTAAGAGAGAGAGAGAGAGAGAGAGAGAGAGTCATGATATTTGATACATGCTCTATGCCCATAAAATGTTCAACTACAAATCCATTATTGTTCACATAACGAAAAATAATAGATATTGTCCTGACTGAGATGTTAGACGATTCATCTACTAGAATGGAATATCATTGATAACAACACTGATTGTTTAAAAAGTAGGAACACTTACAATATATTTTTGAATGTCAGTGATGTCAATTTGAGATTCTCAGGAACATTCTTGAAAGTAACAGCTTTAATCTCCTCATTATGATCAGCTAAAAAATGCAATAATTCAATAAAATTCCTTGATTATATGAATTTTCAGATTCTTCGTGTCCACGAAATGTAAGCCCTTGTCTTAGAAGAAACCAAACACAAACAACCGATGCACCCAAACAATTCGGTAGTCATTTCGTGATTATTGTTATTGTTTTAAAAAAATTTCCTAAATATTTTTCATTTGATTCATGAATTCTTTGTACTTAATTCGAGCTTTATTATGTGCACTATTATGATTTCCGATGTGCTCTTGAAGTTTTTCTTCCTTTTCCAATTTGAAAACCCTCACTCAACAAAAGTGTCACCACCTCCTCATTCCACATTTGATTTAAAAAAATAACAGTAAAAGCAAATTGTAGCATCTTTCTATACTATACTCCAACGAAGAAGGAAATTCGTGAAACCAAGAAGATTGAAAATGCCTCAAAGAAGATTTTTCATATTTTTTCAGAGGAAATTTATGCTTAGAAGGCTGACAAGAATCCATTTGTATATATAATCTTTGAACTTCATCTCGAACATTAATATGATATACCATAATTGAAATTCCTAGTCCAAGATCTATAGCAAGTTGTGTAATATCAATTTTACGTTGAAAATCTCTTTCATCTCGAACAACATCACTTTCATTCCGAGTAACACAATTTTCATGGCCAATATCACTTTCACCCTGATTATTACTTTCGTTCCCAATATGATTTTCAACTTGAATATCCCTTTCATCTCGAGCAACTACACCGGCTCTGCTAGATTTCTTTCTATCAATATTTTTGACCTTCAATAAAAACTGAAGCTTTCCTTTTAAAGTATATCTTCGTAACTGTTGGCATTGAATTGAATACTATGTAAATGAAAAAATTGAAATAAAAATGATAAATTTAAAAATGTTTTAGTAAGTTAATTAATAACATTAGAACCAAATAACTTTAACAAGTCAACATACGTAATTGTTCTCCTTGTCTAATAACTTTAGTACCAAATGTCTGTCAAATATATTGAATAATACTCAATAAGACACAATGCCCCTCGATGTGAGATGTTTTCTCATTATATGAAATCAAATCAAAACTAAATATGATAAAAACAATATATCTATATTTGGTACAATTATAATAATAACATAGAAGTAATTTTCAACAATCTCTATAATCTTCGACTATCTCATTTACATCCCCTTCAAATTGATGCTGGTAATCATGAACTGACGATGGTAACAATACTTATGTCCATGAAGAAGAAATCCAAATCATAGCAACCATCTATGAAAATTAGTGACAACGAGAGATCAACAACAACAAATAATACAGAAACAATCAAGAACTACTACAAAGCCACTCCAAAGACGCTTTAGAGAGCTTACACCACAAGAAGAATTTTCAAAAGAAATTCACAAAGTGTGCCGACACACACAGTGAGTTCTATCTGTAGGGAGAACTAAGTCAAACACATAATTCTCGTTCCAACAAAAGCTCTAACGCCATTACATCAACAAAAAATCTAGCAATATATCACTGGCCAAAATGCTGTAGTTCGAGAAATCCCATAAAACAACCTACATCAAAAAATTCAAAGATGATCCTCCTTCGAAAATCTAAAACCAACAAGGATGATTCTCCTCCGAGAATCCAAAACTCTAGCTCATCACCCAAGCAATCAAAATTCAAAGATCTGCACTCCCATATCTCTCTCTCCTTTACATTCTCATGCTTACCATTATTTTGCCACAATACTTGTGAAGCACTATAGAAAGGGAAAAGTTCAAAGCCCTATCTTAAAAAAAATGTTAATATCTCTGTCTAAACTTTATCAGGCCACAAAAAACAAACAAAACAAAAATCAAATTGTGGGCCCAAACAAACATCAACTCAAAATCAACCTAATTATCTAGAAGTTCATTAATGCCATATAACCCAAGCCCATCACACACTATTTTCAGCCTAATACCAAAAATCATACCTCACCTTCAACATAAGCTGAACCATTAACCCAGTCCAACCCATTACCTATTAACCCAGCTTGTATCCACCATCTTTATCCTCCAAACCATATTTTAATCTAACCTACCTCCAACCACAGCTGCTAACTTACAAATTCGACACCACCTCTACCACTCAGACAACTATCACCAGCTGTTATTGTAGCATCCATCTCTGCCTGCACCACATACTTCGGTAGACCCACATCACAAAGTCATTCTCCCGCTTTTATCTCCAAAAGCCGTCCTCGCGTCATCTTCGCACCCTACACAAACTTCACCGTGACTTGCATAACACCAGTCGAATGCACGCCCCGCCAACGTCAACTAAGGTCCATCCCCATCGCCACCATACCACCACCAATTGTTGAATCACAGTCTATCTTCTATAGTTTCGCACCAACATCCGATCAAACTAAGACCCGTTTTGCTGTGCACCCATTTCCTTCAATAAACCCTAAACATTGCTCGTCGTCGTCCACAATCTATTGCCGCCAACCTGCGAAACCTACAATGCCCACTGAAAGTGTTTGCAAGTCACCAGTTGCCCTTCGAGTTTCTTAAGGCATCCGAAAAGTGTTCGAGAGCGTCGACAAAGAATGAAGGAATTTGAGAAAGTGACGCGAAGCTGGGTCACGTATTTCAACAATGACTTTAGGGACGAAAACAAATAGATCACTAGTAGCTTGATGTTTCCAGTAATAAAAGAAGTGGAAAAATGGAACTCGTGGAAGACATAACTATATATTTTTGGTTGCCAAGATCAAAAGTCATAAGAAAATTATTGGAACGTCAAGAAGACTGGACGGTCCTGTCTTGAGAAAACCCAATCAATAAAAGAAAATTCTAAGGAATAGACTCTGATACCATGTCAAATATATTGAATAATACTCAATAAGACTTGATGCCCTTGCATGTGAGAGGTTCTCTCATTATATAGAATCAAATCAAAACTAAATATGGTAAAAATAATCTATCTATATTTAGTACAATTTAATAGACATAATTTTCAACAACCTCTATAATCTTCGATAA